TTGAGGGAAAAAATATTTMTTTTGGGAGAGCAAARCRTTKAAAGAAAACTTACCTCAGAATTGGTAAACATTACGTTYTTTTAGGTCTTTGCCTTCTTGAAACCTTAAATTTGTGTGAATTATTTTCTACATTTGCAACARAATRTACCTCCTGTATTTCCGCTTCCGTTGMMTTTTCTTCTAAGGTAAGTTAAGCTAAATCGTAATATTTTGACCCCTGAAATCCGTTGTTAAATYGCTTAATAGTTAATTTATAGCACGCACTGTATAATAAGTAGAAAAACAATCAGTCTAAAGRAATTTKAATGYTGATTTGTATKTTAATRKTGAATTCGAATAGAAGAWTGAAATAAGTTACAAARACATACTAAGAAATATCACGGCAKTAMCTAAGARCGAAATATTGATAGTGTGGCTTAGAGTTTYCATAAAAGAGTTATATTGAATTTGTACAAGTTTTGAYAGGAAAAACAAATTAAACTAAWTACATAAAAAATCGTGCATTTGCAAACCAAACAACAAAATGAGAAGAGCGCTATTATTAATTAGAGTCATAATTAATTAATTTGATAAACTTCGTATCAATTACGGGATTCAATGTCCCTATACTGGTTTTCCTTATTCACATTCTCTACTTTAGGTGGTTACATGGGAGACAATTGGGAACAAAATATATAATTGGATTAGGAAGCTTAAGAATATAAAATCAAAGTACCTACGTGATTTGGCAGCTATTTCAATAAGACAAAATATTTTATTATCAAATAACTAAAAAAAGAACTGAGAAACGTTTTGATAAGTAAAGACCGTTGTTTTTGTTCGTCAGTTTATTTTGGCATTCATCAGTTTCTGAAATGTATGTAAAATCAGCCTAAAAATTGCCTTCAGACTTATCGAAATCAATTTTATTTTATATTTTTTATTACGTTTTAATCATTGTCTTTAACTTCATGCGTGGTAAAAATCTAGTCCTGCTTGAGTCTGCTTGAATCCTCAAATTTGATGGAAATATAGTGTTGGTAGACTGAACAACTAAAAGTGGATCGTCTAAAATGCCCGAAGTGTAAAAAGTATATTAAGCTAAATACGTGTGTGTCGAGACAGGTTGTAATCCAGTTTTCAGAGATTGAAAAAGTAGTGCTGCTGGTGCAGCTTTCCAAGAAAATCTCACACTGCCGGAAGAGTAAAAATGGCCGATCTTATGACTTTGAACATGTTATCACAATGGTGATTCCTCAACTTGTAAAGCCGGCAGTCCGTGACGCGTGAGGGTTGTCATAAAATCACGTGCGTCCAGCTCTCATTCACATAGAGCGATCTCGTGCAAATTAACCCCCTTTAATGAGCTGAGCGCATCGACGGTGGAGGGGGTAGCCCCTCACCCCGCGCGGCCCCGTCACAACCCCCCTTGCACTGTCCCCCACACACACCTTCGCACTTAATTTAGTCCGTGTGTAATTAGTAGGGGCACGCTGGCGCGAAAAGACTGCTCTAAGGGCTAGTCACTATTAAGGGTTGAAGGCAAGACCCGAGCGGGATGCAGCAGAAATGCATAGACTGCAACGATGCCGACGCTGAACTGAAGCGGCGCGTCGGCGGCGTCCCGACGCGAAGAAGTAGGTTAGGAAAGAAATAAGAAAAAGAAAAGTGCATCGGCGTCGTTCCTGGTAAAAAATTGTAAAAAAATGTATGTACATATACGGGGAAATAAGGTTAGAGCACATATAAGAATTTAATATTGATTGGTTATACTTCTTTCCTTGCATCGCAAGCGCATTTGCCGTCGCTGCCGTCGTGGGGGTGGGGGGCGGGGACAAAAAAGGGGCCGTAGGTGCATCACAGACGCCGACGACGTCGCATCGGCCACGCAAAAAATGCTGTTGGTCGCGCGACGCCAGGAAACAAATGAATGTTGTGTTGGTCAAGTTGATGGAAAGCAAATGAAGAAACGGATCCGAACAAATGAGCTTTATAGACCGGGCGCAAATGCCTCATTTTAATCGTAGTCTAGGGGAGTGAATTATTTTCAAATTGGACAATTGTCTGCATTCTTGACTGTCTAAGCTCGTTGAATCTGAGCTCTTTTTGTTATTGACGTAAAATGTGACTCACATTTAATATATGATCGCAGTCGTTCTGGCTGGAGGAAGAACAATTTAGATGATAAGTTATAACTAATTACGTGTAGGTCAATTTCACTTTATACAAAGTAATGAAAAAGTTTAAAATTTTTAATGTGACTGTTTACAGATTATACCTTTTATAATTTGGCATTCACTGACTATGGCCTATAATGGATTACGAAGATTTTATTTCAGTCAAGTTTTAGGATTAACTAAATTTCGCCTTTTTTGGCTATCCACTAGTTAAATCGTGTATAAATTCGGTAATAGAGAATAAAAAAACACCAGATTTTTATAATATTTATCAAGTACGGTTTCAACACAAAACGAGCAAACCAAATAAGAGATTTTATTCCAAGACCACCATAAACCCACCACTCCTTTCAAAATATTCAAAATTAAATCATTATTTTTATTCGTTTTTGTACAGGGTGTTTCCTCATAAGCTGACACTCCCCTAGATTACTTATTTCAAAAATGGTAAGAAGTGGTAAATACTAGTTCTTCATTGTTACTCAGATTTTCAAAATTTGAGACTAGAATAAGAAAACGAAAGACGTAAATGGATAAAGTTGACAAAGTAATTTTGGAACGGAACACCCTATGAATTTTCAGACAGATCGATAGAATTTATTTTACATGCAGGGTGGCCCTCAACTAATGTGACAAAATTCACTGACATATTGTTTAGACAAAATTATTGCGTTTTAGGCAATGTTGTCTTATTGGAAATTTCATAGTTTACGAGGTACAGGGTGTCAAAGTGTAAAGAAAATTTTCGTTTATAAGGATTTCGGATATAAGTAAGCGCCTACAAAAAATATTAATAAATACCCGATTTTATGGCATGGGTGTATAAATATTGTATACAAATTTATTATTTATTAATCTAAATAATAAGATTCACCGAGAAAAGAACATAAGCATTGAAAAAAATTGATTAGTGCAATAAATAACTAAATCTAAGTATGGAAGTACTTTAATTGAAATCTGTTTAAACGAAACCAGAAGTTCGAGTAAAGTCTTGCATTTTTATGTTTAAACTACTCCTGTCACCTGACTAAAAATTTGCATGCTCGACAGTGAAACTCATTAAGCGGGTGGAATACTAAAAGTGAAAGTGGCCGCTCTCAACATCTTTGGAATCCAGAGCGGCAGAAAGCAAAACGACAAATTCCACTTTAGAAACTTTAGAAGCCCAACGAGCGACTAAAGAGAGTCGCTGGCAAAACGAGGTTAATAATGAGTATTCTATGTAATCGTACTCTATTTAGCGCCAACTTTCGTAGTCATTAAACAAACGCAGCGGTCTCGTTTTCCCCCCTTCACTTCACTCTCTATTCTGATCAACACGTGGTTCTTTCGGGAATCGAAATTGTGTTCATTGAATTGATATGATTAAGCTTTTCATCCCTGCTTTCGGGATACCCATTTACCAAACGCCAATTCGTTTTATATTAGTTGAGCTTTCGAGATTAATTTACAGATTTCAACCAAAATGTTTATTAATGCTACTGTAATTAAGTGCATCGATAATGTTGCATTCAAGATATTTACTATTTTCATACAGACTAGAATAATGCGAACATTCATAAATCTTGTTAAGCCACCCAAAACAATGGAAAGGTCTTGGAATCTGCAACTACGCTTTATGAGTCCACCTAATGCATTCTGTAGAAAGAATGTCTGAACAAGATGAAGAAGATGTAACAGAATAATTACATAAGTGTAAAATGTTTTTTCTCAACTCCGCTAAGACTTTCGTGGTTCAAAAAACCCACAAACTCAAATTATCTGTTAAATTTCTAATTATTTACCATAAACTTGCAAAGTCGGAACTTAGCAATATTTGATAAAATCAAGTTCAGCAAGAAATCTACGGAATGGTCGTCAATTATAACTCAATAAATTATCCTTTTAGTTCCTATTCCTGTAAGTCAATTTTACTAACCCGCATCCCCCATTCGGCATCAAAATATTACGATTTAATCGTAATATTTTTTCTGTAAACGTCTCCTCTATTTCTGGGATATTGCTCTACAAGGTAAATCCTATTCAAACAATAACAATTAATCAACTTGTTGACTGTTCTAAATTGGTTTTATTGTGGAAATTGAGCCATCAGTTATTGAGAGAAAATCTCACTCTAAACTGTATTCAATTAGAAAAGTGTTTGAATTGCCAAAAAAAAATCAAAATCGAAATTGGTTCAGTAAAAGCTGCGAATTGAGTTGCGAGGATACTTTTGAAATTAGTTCTCCTATTTGATAACTTTTTGCGGGTGCTGTTTCATTTTTTCTTGCTTAACGGTTTTACCTATAGGTTGGATTAAGTGGAAATAATTATTTTCAATAAATAGGTCATTTGTGTGAATGTGAGTAAAAAGCACTTTAAATGGAAAAGACTGCAAAACTATTAAATAAATGGCATTCTCCCAATTGAGCTGATTTGACAACATCACATGGTACACCTAGCTTAGAAGACCTTTCATTACTATTGAATCCGCGGTACATGATTTACGACTTGAAAAACTCAACAATAACCATTTTCGAGTCCCGCACATCACACAGAGCATACAACCGCAATATATTTCCACATTTCTGGCAGAAAACTCCATTATACTCAAAACTGGAGCCGAACACAATTTATTTGCCTGCAAAAATGAGCAAATAAAGTGCATCGGATGTTATATATTTTTATGTGTTTTCCTTGAAATAAGTTTTTGTGCTTTTTTTCGTCATAGCGCGCGGAACGAGTTGCAGGACTTGCGCTTTGTGGGGCGCGTTTTATGCTCTTGTGGCCCCCGAAGCTCCCTGCAAGCCCCTTGTGGTACCGCAAGTATGTCCCTTCACCTCACTCCCACCCAATAAAATATACCTTTCTTGCTTTTTTTGCGCGAGTGCTGTTTGGCCAGTTTTCTGTGCAAATCGTGACATTCGCTTTTTCCATGAAATATTTCCAGACTTGCTTATGATTTCTTTACAACTGCCAGACGAGCGACTCGAAATATAAGATGGCTTTTATCTCCTCCATACGTCCGCTTATAGACTAAGTTTCAAATATTGATTTCTCGTGAACTGGAGAGTTGACCATAATGCAATCCGCTTCATTACATTGTAATTTTTTGCTGCAATATACCTAATATAGGTAATTGCAAAGGTATAATGCAAAACAGAAAAAGTTTATTTTCCGTGAAACTGCTCTTTATCTACTGTTTCCTCGGCGAAACTCATCTTGGAAACATATTTACAAAACAACATTTAATGAACTTATTCAATCTCGTTTGGACAAAATATAGTTGAAAATATTGTAAACCATCTTTTTCATACAAAGTTTCTGAACCCTAAACATTTTAATAGAAATAGCAACAATTTTGAATTCCGAAAACTGATCTGTTCCCAACTAACTAGTTATATGGGAACGCTCCGTAGAGAACCTATTATCCTTTGGAAGACTTAGCAAAAAAAAGGAAAAAACTGTGCATGAATCGATGCAAAAGTGTATTAAATATTAGGAAAATCACTGAAAACTGAAACATTTTTTAATTCAAGCTGTTCCTTATTGAATGCATGAAATCAGTCAGATTGAGTCTCTGCCATTTCATAAGTTAACTTGTACAAGTAARGTGGGCTTATGAAACATTCTCCAAACATAAYGTATTTTTTGATGGGATTAAAAAGTATCCTAAAATATTATACKTAAAAAGYATTTATTTACCTCTATTCAATTTATTTACGAACACCGTTGCAACTACGACATTTGAAAAATTGAGTAATTATCCAATGGACGGTCGCAATTCAGGTGTTTTCATTTTCGTTKAATGGTAGAATTTATTTAAATTTGATAAAGCTACATAAGAACCCTAGGAATATATKATGATCGCAACAGCCTGGACCATTTTTGTGCTGTTCATTCATTGAGCGTTGGAGCATTATTTGCATTGGCCCTAAATAAAAAAAATTCTAGAACGGATTGCAAATTTAGAAAGTCACAAATAGTTGCAACAGTTTCCAACTTGAACAGTGTTAAATCCAAAGCGTTTTCAGTTTAGAGATCAACAAGACTAGTTAGTAAAAGCTTGTAAAAAACTAGTATAAAGCAATAGAAAAGCAAATAAATCATTGAACTTCAACATTTTTAAACTCCACCAATCTTAAACAGATATTTAAAATCGTTATTCTTATTCAAACAAACTAATCCATAGGGTGTATATAACTCCTCAACCGGAAATATACTGATCAATTACCCGACACATTGGCCCATTTTGTTTTCTGCGAATGGCATATGACCCCTTTTGTCCCTAATCATAAATTCTTTTAATCTCACCCCTGAGTTTTGACCACTGTTAGAGGGAAAAAAAACTTATAACCGGTATAAATATGGGACTTTCCAGTGTAAAAAAGTGGCGCGGAACTAGTAGACCCTCACCCCTAAACGATTAAGGACGAGTTGGCTAAATAGTATCAGCATGGATTTTGTTTACGAAATACCGACAAAAACTTAAAAAAATTATTATTCAAGACGACAATAAAATTTCAGTTGCAAAACCAGTCGCAGCAAACAGCTTTCATAAATACCTATACAATCTAACGCGTTAAATTGACCTGACAATTAATGTAACCGATTTTCAGTTTTTCAGCCGTTCCGTTACGCGTTTTAATGCAATTCAGTTAGAGTCGGTTAAAAATCCCAATGTAAGTGATAATAACGCTAAGCAACCCACCTGAAATTCACTTTGCAAATCAGTTCCCAGATCAAAATTACCCTTTCGTTAATGCAAATCGACTTTTTCCGAATACTCTATGAAACCTGCAAATCTGGTTTATACTAGACATCGTTCTATTAATTTGCAAAAATTCTCAGACTGCTCCATTGTTGGACCACTACCGGACACTGGCTTTAATTAAAGCAACGGAACCAGCTTTCGCTATTCAACCCTCTCCAAGAGACAAATCTAGTTTTGCTAAACTTTTTGCACTAGTTTCTCATAGGTTTTACTTAGTGAAATCTTCTCATGACCCCTTTGACACACACAGCTCATGACTGGTATTTTGCACGTGCAGCAAGCTATTGTAGAAATTACATGAAATAATAATGAAATTCGCCCATCAACTGCATATGCCGAGTTTAACTGCTGAATGGGAAGATATACCAAATTTGATTAAATAGAGTCTGTGGACTTGTTTGCAATAACTGGCACTACTGGCCAGGTGTAAACAAGCTTATTCTGTTTTTTTAGTTCCAAGTTTTCTTACGTTCATGCCAGGTTTGACTAGTGAAAATTTCAAATGAAATTTAAAGTGAAATTTAATTTAGCAGAATACTTAAATATTATTTTTAATAAGAAACTTTACGTATGTTTGCAAAGTTTCTAAAATAACAAGCAGCTTTATATTCAAGTAGATACGTAAATAAATTTAAATAAAGGGTCCTGAAGACTTGACCCTAACTGGTTTGTGCCCCTGCGCTTTTTTGTGCCATAAAAAATTGAACTTGTGTATACCACACAGTATAAACGCAGTTCGCAACAGGTGTGACCTGTTTTGAACTTTTACCTGCCAATTTAAGCATTTTATAAATACAGTAATTCAAAATACTGCTCCTAAAAATGCTATGATTCTCCCGCTCAAGCAACTTTTTCTATCAATCTGTGCAGAGTAAAATATGTATTCAGTAAATAATAAAAACTATGTAGTCGAGTGCGGTTAGTAAATGAAGTTGAGCAGTTCGACAATAAATTGTGCCGTTATGTGACAAAACTCATGTAATGATCGTTCACATGCTTAATTGTTGCTGATTAAACTCATGGGAAAAACTGAATTCGGAGAAACTGAATTTTTTCCTTACAGTTCGTTTTCCATTACAGATATAWATTTATAGCTCCATCAGTAAAATTGTGTATTTGTCTTCGATTCGCCTTCTAGTTTCACTTGTCAAAAAAAACTTAATTTGCAGATACAAAACACGAACATTTTTGCCAAATTTATGACTTAATTCTTTACGATTATCGCCGTTATCAGTAATAATTACCTATTTTTCTCATTGTTCCTGTATTTTATAAAATATTCCTATTCACCAGACGCAGAGGAATGACCAAACTTTTGGATCATCCGATACGATAAACGATGTATCCGTATAGTTATAAGCGCAAAAAATCACTGACCTGCATGATATACAAGATAAAATGTTTTTTGAACATGGGCAATTTGGCACTGTTTTGAGGCACAGTAATTCACTATTCACACATACGATAACAGATTTTTCTTAAATTGGTTCTAACTTTTCAGATTTACGTACGGTTTCAGTTCAGAACGGTTTTGCTTTTGAACTACATTGCAATAACGAAAGTATTTATAATAATAGTATTTCTATATTTCTCTGCAAAGTTTAAAATTACATAGTCAAGAAACAGTATATAGTAGGTTCTCATACATCTATAGACTTAGGCCAAGCTGTATGGCATTTTTGCGTGACGAAAAGACTAGTAGCAAACCAATTGTGCGATGTTATGAGATGATAATAAGCTGATGAATAGGTATGTGTTTTTCACTCGCATTTCCGGTACATAAGTTAGTTATTAATAATTTATTGCAAAAAAATAGCAACTTTTCAATTTTCAATCAATTCAGTCGCAAATGCGAGGTCGAACGGCGGAATCGGATAATTAGTTTCAGAGAAATTTAGGAAAACCTTGAAAATCGAGTGTTTTTTTTTAATCATAAAATTCATAGCTCCATCATTTTTCCAAAGTTTTGAGTGAAAGTAGGGATTACTATGTTCTTTGTATGTGCCAAGAGCGGGTGCTGTCAAATTATTAGTTGTCTCAAATTGCAAGAACAGTTTGTAGCATGGTTCCAGGCATCTGATCGAAAAACTGAAATGTAAGTTTTGTAGTGCACGATTTCAACTGTTCACAACTTTTCTTGAAATTATAATCAGACTGACGGTAACGCATACAAGCGTGCCGGAAAAACTTCAAATTTGTATAGCTATTTTGAGAAAACTAATAATTGGCCAGCACTGCCCTGGTCAGTTATAAAGAACATTACAGTCGCTACTTTCGCTGAAAATTTGACCGCTCCAGCTCAAAGATTGACTGAGCTATGAATTTTTGAAAAAACGATTCGATTCAGGCGTTTGACCTCTCATTTTGGTGATATTTTTATTCTTTACAAATCATCTCGTTGGAGCATTCCGATTGCCGATTGCTCCATTAGTTTAAAGTTATATACAAAAACGGCATTTTTTTGCATTTTTTAAAAATAAATTGTTAACAACTAACATATGGACCGGGGCCGCGAATCTTTTATACCATCGGCCTGTAACCTGGTTTCCTACTAGTATTTTTGTCACGATAAAGCATTTTTAAATACCAATAGCTGGCCTAAATGTCGCAACGTAAACAATCAAAACCTAATCAATTTTTATTCTGTTCGTTCGAGAAACAATTTTTTCTGTTTGAAGTGAATAAATATTATTAATTTTTCGAATACTTCTGAACCTAAATACCCACTATACTACACCATTTACTATTTATCAATTTTGCAACATTTAAGTCTGAATACTTGATTTGTTTAAACTTTTGCTTACCATCAGACGCGTAGAAAATTAATCGTCTTTTTGTGTGCCTTGTTTATTAACTGTTTGATTACATTAATTAATTAATTGATTCAACGACTTTGAATTACATAGACCAAAGTTTATCACAAAATGTCCTCTTATTTCTTTTTCAAATGACTACGACTAAATCGGAATAAGAACTTAAAAAAATGTGTATATTTCCTTTTGCCCAATTGACTTATGCACCCATCTACAAATACAAAACATGTCCTGAAATAGAGATGGTTAAAGTTCATTGAAGCAAAAGGTTATCACCATCATCCTAAT